TGAACAGGCAGAATGTTGTTGTAGTCATACTTCAGAAATTCTGGCTCATACAACTCGATGCCCTGCTTGGTTCTAGGTTGATGGCGAGGAATTTTGTACCACTCAACGAAGGCAAATACGTGTTGGGGGTTGTGACAAGGGGAAAGGTTGGTGTGCATGAGGTTTGGTGTAAAATCGTGCAAGAACAAGTACTTAATACGACCAGCATATCTTTCCTCAGAGTCTCCACTTTTTTCAATAAATTTCACTTGTATATGCGATCCTCTCATGACCAAGCCTTCTCCACCTGTGTAAACTTGTCCAAGAAGATTGATGGACAAAATCTTCTGGATTCGGTCATTCACAAACCAACAATTCCTGATTGTTGTCTTGGCACTGCAAAGAGAATCGTTGTCATACTCAATTTTATAGAAATCGAGCAGACAATCATACTCGGATTTTCTCATTGTTGTTGGTGGCTTCAAACACAATGGTAGAGCAGAAAGAGGTAGAGGTTCGTTGCCAAATGTTTGCTTTGAAGGCTTTTCAGCAGATTGTAGGAACGTTGGCAAGTGAAAGTATGACAGTATCAAAGTATGTGGCGAAAGTGCAGGATTATAGATTTTATGGCCAGACAGCTTGAGAAAGAGAGAGAGGAGTAAAGGACTGGTAACATTTCTGAGATGCGCTTGACAAAAGTCACCATTGTAAGAACTCTCAAGAAATCTTTTCATGTAGGTATTCTCGAACCCACTCTTCTGGTTTGCCTCAAACCCTTTCAATACACCATTATAGCGCTCAAAGCTAAATAGCCAAAATCCATAAATTGGCCCAAAGTTCTCAATCGTTTCTTTTAGATGGAGATGGAGATGCATGTTTTGCGTGAATACATCTGGTTTATAAAAGTCTTCACAACCAACACAAAACTCCTCCAAACTTTCGTGAGCTTTTTTGATCCCATTTTTGGTGATACTTGGCTTCGTCAATTCTCTGCATGCATCGACAAAATAGATTCAATTGTCAAGCAGATCATCTCACAGGCGTCTATTGACCAGAACAGGAGAGTATATTAGGCATTATGATTTCTACTCATATGCCTTCATAAACAGAAATTTCTTTCCAATCTTTATCTTCAGAGTCGTATACCCTACAGGGAGTACCATTCTATTAGCCTCTTCCTGCATCTCTACAAAATCTTTGTCATCAAGCAAATTGTTTGCAATCCAAATATCCATCATTCGTTTTGCAGTCCCGAGAAAAAGGTTGTGCATGGGATCGATAATGGTTGCACGCACTGGCTCAAAGTACACAAGTCGATGAAGCTCAGACCAACAAACACCATTCTCAATCTCCAATCGCTTTCTCTCTGTCAATGTCTTTGCATTCTTCCACAGGTTTGCATGTCTGCAATTTTCTTCTTTTGTGCGGCCTACCCATTCCGAAAACTTAAGCCCAAAATAGTTTACAGCAGTGGTCCCATCAACACAAGCAAACTGACGATTGCATTTGTAGCATGCACATGTGCTGTTGTGAGATGTAAACCCACACGTCTTTCTTGCAGCAGGGATGTCGCATGCAACCATCAACAGAGCAACACGCACCAGAGCACCTGAGCAGTTATATGTATCAATTGTGATACCTTTATACAATAGCATAAGTTCATCAACAAGAGGACGCAAATAGTTATTGATCTCGTCGGTGCTTGCTTCTTTAGGTCCAGGCATCAATCCAACAAGAATGACATTTTCTGCCTTGTTCCGCTCTTCTCTCGGCAGATTGTTAATTGTCAGGTATATCGCACCACAAGAATATGTTACTCCATCAAATGGTTGAAACCAATCAATGTTCAGTGTCAATAGTAATGATCATTCCTTCGAAACAAACTGGACACCATCCTCATCCACTAATTCGTTCCACATCTTTCCATCATATACATCGAATAAAGTACCATCGACTTTTGGTTCACGATTCCATCTGTTGATCATACTCTCAAAAGAAGGACGTGTAAACATTTTTTTCAAGGTAGTTGTCAACGAGTTATAAACAAATGTGCACTTTG